TGGGCTGCCACTGAGCGGCGCGGCGCGACGGTGAGGCCAGCCAGAAGACGAGCATAACCCCGCCGCTGCGGCAAAGCAGAGGCAGCCACTTGCGGGTCCGATTTTGCCTCGCCCGGTCGGCTTTCTCGCGCATGTACATGCACATGCGATGGGACTGCCCGACGGGACATGCCGCCGGCGACGAGATTGGAGAGCCGACAGGCATCGAAGAGGTAGGTACTGAGGAGGGCCATCGCGCCCGAGGCGATCCGCGCCGGCCCTGCAGGCCGTCTCAGAGAGCCTGGCGAGGCTGTACAAGAGGCTGTACAAGCGAATGGTTGTCGAAGTGTGTGGGTCACTGTGTGCACTGACTGCGGTGCCATCATAATGTCAACCACTCTGGCTTGGCAGATACATCACTGAGCAGGATCATACGCTGGTCAATTGGGCATGTTGTAGAGTTGCCGATGGGTGGGTAGCGATTTGAAATCTTGCACGAGACGTTCTTTGCGAGCCTTGCGCGCGTAAACCTGACGCGTCTCATTTCCTGTTCTCGAATCTTGCTTGACCAGTGCCTAATAAGTGTCGAGATCAAGCTGTCGCTTGCCCCGCATCTCGAGCAGGGTCAGCTTCGCCTCATCGCCGCTTGCTTTCCCGGGATTCTGCCCGCGGAAGAAAAACAATTCGAATCCAGCACGCCGCGAGATCCAGGCTCCCAGTGGCCGTCAGCCGCACACCGAACCGCCTCCCGCCCACCATGCTGGCCGCACCCCAGCAGCCAGCGGCGGTCTCCCTGCGGCTCCGTCCCCGGGCGGCGGCGTTTGTTTCACCACGCCACCAGCACGCTGCATCTCGCCCCCGCCTCACCGTCGCCCCACACCGACTCCCCCCGCAGACATGAGGCTTCTACTGCTCTGCGCTCTCGCGCTCGGCTGCTCTGCGTTTGCGCCGCTGCCGTCCAAGCAGCAGCTGAGGCCGACTGGCCGCGCCGCCGCCGCCTCGTCCATCCAGGCGCGCGAGCCCGCGCCCGGCTGCGACCGAACGCGTGTGCGGGAGGGAATGGTATCGGGGGCCGCGACGCTGCGGCGCGAGCTAGTCTGCTCACCTCTGCGCTGCGCTGCGCTGCGCAGATGCTGCGGGTGTGCGACATCACGGGGAAGAAGGCCAACAATGCGAACCGCGTCACCTTTTCGAACAAGCACAACGCGTACTGGCAGTACCCCAACCTGCAGACGAAGAAGTTCTTCTCACCAAAGCTCGACCGCACCGTCAAGCTCAAGGCGCGTCTGCACACGCCACGACTGCCTCTACGGCCGCTTGCTCACGGTGGCCCGAGCCCCGCACCGCGCAGGTGGCCACCTCGACCATCCGCACCATCCGCAAGCTCGGCCTCGACGAGACGGCGGCCAAGTACGGCGTCGATCTCGCAAAGTTCTGAGGAGTGGGTTTCATAGTCTCCGTCTCCGCGAGTCCCCCCTGGCCGCCGCCTCTCTGCGTGCCCCTGTCTTCTGTTCTTGTAGTGAGAAAACATGTCGTTGGTGACAACACGCATTGTACTTTGTAGTACGAAGAACACGAACCTCTTCCACTGTGCATGGAATAGGCAATAGCGTGAAAAGATGCTTAGGATCAACAGACGCAGTACTAGCCGGCTAGAGCTCGCCGCCGGATGCCGCCGGCTCTCTCTCGAGCTCTCTTCTCTCTTCACCCGCGCGGCAGAGACGAGGTAGCAGGGGCACAGCGAAGGGCGCCAGGCGCCGCGAGGCACGCACAGCCGGCACACCCCCCCCCCCCCCCACCCCCCCAAACTCTCTCTCTCACTCGGACTGCCTCTCCGACCCGGCACGCGATCCGGTGCACAGGTCCGGTACAATAGGCATGTGTGACTGTATACGCCCCCATGCCGCCCGCCCGCCCGGCGCCGCCCGTGCCATCTATCCGAATACATGCATAGCTGCAGAAGCCCCGCCGCCTCCCACCTCAGGAAGAGAGCTGCCGCCCACCGAAGCAGCAGCAAAAGCGCCAGCCCCCTCCCTCTCCCGGCCAAGTCTGCACCACACCGCGCAATGTCGTTGTGCCGTGTGGTGCAAGCGGCCGGGAGCGTCCGTTACCTCTTCTTGAAGCCGTACTTTTTGCGCTCGTAGAAGAGGTCCGTCTTGGACGAGCCGAGGTTGACGATCTGCACGGCGGGGGCAGGGAGGCGGCCGTTAGGGTGCGGCGGCGCGGCGGTGAGGGCGGCGGCGGCGGCGAGGGAGGGGAGGAGGGCGGCGGAGGGCAACGAAAGAGCAGCCGCGGCTGACGACGGCGCGCCAAGCTGGCAGCACGCAGGGCAGCCGCGGCGGGGGGGTGAGGTGGGTGCGGGGGAGGCCCCGCGCGGAGGGAAGGCGCGTCGACGACGCGCCTTGGGGCAGCCGTCGCGGTCCTTCTCCTGCTGCGTGCACTCCTTGCAGTAGTAGGCGTCGGAGATGCCGGGGCCGCCGCAGATGATGCACCGGCCCTGGAAGGACCCGTAGTTGCACTCGTCGCAGATGCGCACGAGCGTGTTTGGCCGCACGTACGAGTCGCAGATCGGGCACTTGCCGTCGCACTTCTCGCACAGCCGGCCCACCGAGATGCCCGGCTGCTTCCGGCACATGATCAGGTCGGGGTGGTGCTTCGCCATTGGCAGCGCGGCGGTGACCTCTGCAGGAGGCGGGCCCAGTCGAGAGCACACACGCCCTCTCGCCCTCGCGGAAACAGAGAAATCGTTGACTCCGCGCAGCGGCAGAAAAAAACCGCGCCAAGCGGACATTTCCGTGTGCTGGGCGAGCTCCTGCCTCAGGTACACAAACGCGTGCCTCCCAGCACCGCATCCCAGCACCGCACTCGCCCTGGATTTGCTCGAATCGCCGCCATAGGCATACCCCTCTGTTCGCTTACGATGCTCTGCCTCATCGCCGCCGCCCAGAGCTACGTGCTCCAGCCGCAGCCTCTCGTCTCGCGCGGCGCCGTCGCCGCCGTCAGCAGATCTGGGCCGGTGGTTGCAGGTGCTACCCGCTCCGCACGCGCACACAGCGCGCACGCACCCCGCTGGAGCTGGCACCGGCCGCTCGTGCCTCTCCCCACGACTCCGGGATTGCGGAGGCCGTCTCATGCAGCGAGCCACCGCGGCGGCAAGCAGCAACAGCAGCATGCACCCTGCTGATCCCCCGCCGTGTCACGGTCAGCTGTGGCCGTGGACGCCAAGACCGTGAAGACCCTCCGCGACGCGACCGGCGCCGGCATGATGGACTGCAAGAAAGCGCTGATTGAGAGTGAGGGAGACATGGTGCGCGGCCTGCGCCCGCCTCTGCCTCTCGCCTCTCTCCTCACCGCTCCCTCCCTCCTCCCTCCTCTCTCGCCAAGCGGACTCGCCCTCACTCCTCCCTGTCGCCTCTCTCCTCCCTCCTCCCTCTCCCCCGCCCTTCAGCTCCGCCACCCGCCGCCGCCCCCATTGCCATCGCCGCCAACCCCGCCCGCTGCGCTGCACCCCTCCCGCTGCGCTGCAGGACGCCGCGACAGAGTCCCTTCGGAAGAAGGGTCTCGCGTCGGCGGAGAAGAAGTCGGGCCGCGCCACCAAGGAGGGCATCATCGAGACGTGCGCCCCCGGCTGCGGCGCCCCACCTCGCGCTGCGAGCCGCGCCTCTCCGCACCGGCTGCACGCTGCGTACGACTAGGTACATCCACACCGGCGCAAAGCTCGGCATCATGGTCGAGGTGAACTGCGAGACCGACTTCGTCGCCAAGCGGCCGGAGTTCCAGGTGGAGCCCGCCACCGCACCCGCCGCACCCGCCGTTACCACCGGCGCCACCGCCACCGCCCCCCCTCCCGCGACTACCGCCGCCGCCGGTGCCGCCAGCGCGAGTGGATGGCGTTGCTTTGCTGCAGAGAGTTGCTGGGCTCGCTCGCCCTGGGCACCACCCTGGGCACCACTCTGCCCCGCCCCCTCCCTCCCCCCTCTGCCTCACTGCGAGCTCCACCCCGCTCCAGGAGCTCGCAAAGTCGCTGGCCATGTAATTAATTAATTAATTAATTAATTAATAGGAGCTCGCAAAGTCGCTGGCCATGCAGATCGCCGCGTGCCCGACTGTCGAGGCGTCTCGAGCCTCCGCTCGAGGGTGTCCGCTCGAGGGGTGGCCGAGAGTCCTCGGGAAGAGGAGGGGGGGGGGCGAGAGTAGGCCATCTCGAGCGACGACATCTCGGCGGACTGGATCGCGAAGGAGAAGAAGATCGAGGCGGCCAGCGACGACCTGCAGGGGAAGCCCGAGCAGATCATCGAGAAGATCGTCAACGGGCGGGTGGAGAAGGCAATCAAGACCAAGCTGCTTCTCGAGCAGCCGTACATCCGCGACTCGGGCATGACGGTCGACGAGTTCGTCAAGGGGTACACCGCCAAGCTGGGCGAGAACATCAAGGTGGCCCGCTTTGCGCGCTTCACGGTCGGCGGCGGCGCGGAGGAGGCTGAGGAGGCGTGAGGAGTCCTGCTGCGGACCCACCGCAGACCAAGGCGTTTCGCCCTTGGACGACGAGTGTGAAGAGTCACAACGAGAGGGAGGGAGAGAGAGAACAACGACGGTGTCGGGCCCGACGAGCGTGCCACCCGCAGTGCGTTGGGGGGGTGGGGGTAACGTCCAAGCGAGCGACCCACGAGAGTGGCCCTCTCGCGGCTCGGTGTTCGTCGGTGACGGTGTTTTTCCGGCGCGCTGTCGTCGCCTGTGCGCTGTATGTTGTACCAGCAGCATGTTGTACCCAGAATACCCTCCGGAGGCTCCGCGACTGCGGCGCGCGGCACGTATGACGTATTGTTGTAAGAACAAGAACCCGGGCCCGGCCGCCGGCGCGTGCCGCGCGCCGCGGAGTCCGCGGCGACGGGCGAGATATCGGACTGTCGGTATTGGACAGAGTCCACAAGCAGCGAGGATCTAGCCCGAAGCCCCCCCCCCCCCCCTGTCCTAGATATGCTGATGATCTCAGCGCATGCGTGTGTGTAGGTGTGCGGTCCTCATGCTGCGTGCCTGACGGACATGAGGGTAAGGACTGCCGAGAGAGCTCCCGGCCCTGGCGGCGAGAGGGGTGCCTCCCCGTGGGAGCACCGTTGCGCGTCGCCCTTTGCGAGAGCCTCGAGCGCCGCGCGCATATCGTTCTGCTGCAACTGCGATCGATCCAGCGACATCGCTGGGCCGTCGCGATTGCCCAGGAATGGCCGCTTCGAGCTTGCACATTCGGGGCTCTGCCCACCACTGGCGGCGGCTCGCTCAGCCGGGCAGAGCCGTTTTCGCTTCGTCGGCACATGTGGTAAGCACTCGAGGTTAAGGCGCGAGCAACGCGTGCAAGCAACACCGGACTCAAAGATGCACTTCACCTTGGCACGGCGGCAGTTCGTGCATGCCGTCTTGACCGGCGGCTGGTCGGACTCACATGGAATCTGCAATGCGCACACACGAACCATGTCGAGCATCTCCGACTTGGTCCGCTCCTTACCGCCCTCGCGGAGATGGTTGATGGTTACCATCTTGGATAGGATCTGGAAGGCGACGTAGAGCCCCGCGTCCGGGGTGTTGATGTGATCGCGCAGGAGCGTGGCGCCGTGGTAGAGCATGCCGTAGTACTCCCGACGCGCTCTCTTCGGTGGGCGGCGGCGACGGACGGTATCCAGCTGCGCGAGAAGGCGTGGGTGGTTGGCCCAGGGGCGGAGCCACTCGTCCCTATCATTGAAAGTAGCAGAGGGGTCGCGCTACACGCTCTCCGAATGGAATTTCTGCCCTGCCCCTGTCACGGCCCCGCCTGCCTCCCGGAGGCCCGCCCGGCCATGCAATCCGCCGCCGGACCGCCCGGCGGGTCCAACCCGAAGCGGGCGACCGGCCGTTCGCACCGCTCGGCCGACGGGGCGATCCCCGCGGCCCTCGATCGCTCGCCCCGGGACGTGGCCCGACCGGCCCACGCGCACGGCCTGGCCTCTACCGCCGGTTTCGGCGGCGCAATTTGCGCCTTCATCGCTCTCTGGATCGTCCTGGCACCCATCGGACTCCTCCCGACGGTCGGCGGCGCCCACTCCGTGCACTTTGAGTCAGACTCGCTCTTCGGCAGGCACGCTCTTCGGCAAAAAGTCGCCGCCGGCTGTCCACGCCGAGCCAGCCAGTTGCCGGCTCGCACGGCAGCCTCTTCCTCTCGACCAGCCTCAACTTCGACACGGTCATCATTTTGTCGCTGCGTGCTCGTTGCGAGCCGGGCGGCGGTCAAAATTTGCCCAGACGAGCGCCAGGCGATAGTCCCGTCTCTGTTCGCCCTGTGCATGTCAGGCCAGGCTGCAGCGGGGCACGACCATCGTGCTGCCCTGTTGCAGCCTGACGTTTCCCACTGTGCACAGCCGCCAGAGCACCACCACCGCCCGGCATCGTGTCACGGCGAGCTCCTTCTGCACCCGTTCGCGAGGCTCTTGCGCTGGCACACTTCGGCCTTCCGCTGCTCGCGTTCGGCAAGCTCTTCTCCGCACTCCTGCCACGGTGCCGTCGCCACACACCTTCTGGCCGGCCTGAGCCACGCGGACTCTCTCTCCCTCTCTGGTGCACGCCACGGGCCGCGACGGCTGCTGGCAGCCGGCCGGCGTGAGGAGGCAGCGTTGCCGGCACAGTCGAGCTGGAGTATCCGCTTCTTGATGCTTCTGCGGTCAAGCTTGACCTTATGTGACATGATATGCCACAATACTGCATGCTCTCACCAAAGTGTCGAATTTTTGTTTAGTACTGGTGACCCGACACCGGTGGCCCGATAGTACCGTATGCCTTTCTTCAATGTTCAAACTCTGGGCCGGCGCGGGGCCCCCCGGAGGCACCGTGCGCCGCGCCGCAGTGCGGAAACGGGGCCCCGGCTCCACTAGTCTCCACTAGCACCAACTTCCCGATTAAGTACGGTTAAGTAGAGGGCAGATTTGGAAAGATCTCGAGGAGTACATACAGATAGACCCTCCAACCATCAGAAATCTCCGACCTGATCGGTCGTACTGACCGCCGACAGATCACTCCAGACAGCAGACAGGCCGACGTCTGCACGCGGCCGGCCGGGCGAGAGGCTTGACACGATCCGACCCTGCGACCCTGACGCTGCTGCTCTAGCTATCAGCCATGCACTGCTGACTGCTGCCACAATGTGCGACCTGTGCTGGCCCACTTGGCGGCCTTCCCGGTCAGTGGTGAGGCGCAGTTCAGAGCTGTCGATGGCGCGATGCCGCACTGGTCCCACATTGGTGACACGATACCACCACGTTTGCCGGTCCAAGAGAGAGGCACCGGCGCTGTCCTGAGAAGGTGCGTGGTCCCTCTTGACTGCCCATGCGCGCGAGGCTGTGTAGGCATAGCCTCGAGAGTGCCAGCAGCCAATCCGAGGTGACGCGCATTGCGCCAGAAGCGTGCACACGATGGAAGGACACCTTCCTACTGGCCGTACGATCAGGTCGTCACTGAATGCTTGATACTAAGGCCGCGAGCTATGCAGGTGATCAATTGTGCATCATGGCACGGTCAGCTGCGCCGACAGGCTGTCGCAAGGCGTGATAGCATGGCCGCAAGTACGCCGGATTCCCATGAAAACAAGTAAAAAACTCCAAAAAAGAAAAACAATCCAAAAAAATCGGCGCCTGCGGCGGGCCATGGGACCCCATCTCCCCCCCGCATGGACACCCTCTGGGGCCCCCGCGCCGGCCCAGAGTGTTCAAAAAAAAACGAACAGGCTTCGAGGTTCGACAATCGCTAAAAGCTGCTTGGGGGGGGGGGGGGGGCGGGGGGGCACCGCTGCGACTCCATTGGGGATGCCTGAGGCCACCCCAAGCACTCCCCAAGCCTTACGTGGACGAATTCAACCCTACTTTTTGTTCGTCTACCCCACATTAGCAACTTCGTGCTCATGTCAACGCCACGCCAGCGCTAGCCCATTCAACCCCGCCCCCATTGGGGGCGGGCCCCTTCAAGGGCCTAACTCTAGTAGGATTGAAAGAAGCAGAGGGCTCTCCCGCGATTTCTGTCCGCCCCGAAAATTTGCCCAGGCACGATCGTTTTGGTCGGCCCCTGGGCCCCCTGGCGGCTCCACGCTTGGCCGGCGGATGCCGCAGGGTCCGCAGCAGCCTGCCAGCAGGCCTGAGCGGTGGCTTGCGATGCGAACCGGCTGCGCAGCTTCCTCGGCGATGGGTGCTGCGAGCGTCGAGCGAGTCGCCGGTGAGCCAGCCGCCACAGCCTCACCTGCCGGTCCACACACTCCCAGGCGCACGGACGGACCCAGCGGCGTCGCGCACGCGTCTGAGCCACGCGTCGGAGATGCAATCAGACTCTGATTCAGGACTACCCAGCGTTCTGCTGCCCGTGGGCGGAATGTACTGTTGCGAGGCGCCGCTGGTCGGCGGCGCGCGCCTTCTCGCTGTGTCGGCGCGCCGGGCTGCGCTTTGTGGCGAGCGGTGCGCTCCAGTTCCCTCGCTCCAGTTCCCTCGCTGGCGCATGTCCCTTTGAAGCCCGCGGTGCGGCGCCTCTCGGTGGGCCCACACGCCTCACTCCCACACACTCCCCGCTCTCGGCCCGGCCCAAGCTCACTCCACGGTGCGTCGTGATCGTACTGGCAATGCGCCGCTGGCGCTCGTCAGCGCACACGGCCGTCGCGCTGCGTCCAGGCGCCAAGCGCACCAGTCACGTGCGTCACCGACAGCGCCACACCACTGCATCACGTGCCGCGAGGAAAGCTGCGTCGCGTGAGTGGCGACTATCACTGCCGGCGGCTGGCGCCGGGTAGTGGTGTCGGGTTGGCGCCCGTCGACAGTCAGAGAGAGGGTCTGTGTGTCGAGTATGTGTGTTTGTGGCGTAGATCCTCCCTCTTGGGAGAGAGAGATTGTTTGTTGTCTCTTGGTGTCTTGGGTGTGACGCTGCAAGTGTGGAACATGCTGCTCGTGCGCCGAGGTTCTGCAGATGAGTTAGTGAGACGGATTTTCTTCTTGCTGAGTTTTCTTCTTGGCCGTGCTGCAATCGCTTTGCCAAAGTCGATCGCAAGGTGGATCGAGCCGCCGCATGGCCGGGGCCGGCGCCTCGACCGTCCACGTGCCGCCTCTGCCGAAGAAGCTGCGGGCCGAACCACACGAGGAGGAGATCGGGCCGGGCAAGCCGTACGCAGATGCGGCCGCGTTCAACGCCGACCACAGCCGTTGGGAGCAGGAGCGCGATGCACGCGTGCAGCAGATGGCGGAGCGCCAGAGAGCACAGAAGAAGCTCCACGAGCAGACTCGAGGGGAGCGAGACCGCAGTGCACGCCAGCGGCCGGCCGACGACAATGTGCGGCGGGAGCAGCAGAGACAGCAGCAGCAGAGCGCAGTGCGCATGGAGTCTTTGACGACGCCGACATTCAAACTCTTCTTCCTGCTGGCCAATCTCACCCGGATGGTGGTGGACGAGTCGGCGAGTGGCGTGAAGGAGCGCCTATGGAGCGTGTGGGAGGGGCTGCTTGGGCGACGGCCGCCATCGTCGGCGACCGTTGACTACGTTGCGATCGACAATCCACGGCTGACGCTCGGAGACCGCATATTAGACGACAATTTGCAGTCAAGCCAGCGCGTTGCAAAGCTCCTTGAAGCAGGCGTGGATAGGGACGATCTGCTTCGGACTTCTAAAATCGACTTTGTGTTCATAGGACGACCGTATGGCGAGAGTGGAAGGGGAGCGTGCGTGCAGCTGTACACTGACAATGCCGGCAGCCCAACCCGCGTGGAGTGCTATGACGGGCAGTGGGTATGGAACGGATCACGGCACCACTTCACCGGGAGGGGCCACGCAAAGTTCAGTGATGGGGAGTACAGCAACGGGGTGTGGTTCGAGTATGAATTGATGCAGGGAACTCGTGTACGCAACGGTCAGGAGGAGGTTGTGGAGCGCAGCGAGCGCGCAAAGAACTTCATCAAGCTTGGCCAGCCAGCCATGGCCAACTTTGTAGATCTCGACCATAAGAACGAGGAGGAGGAGATGGATGAGTGGCTCTGTACCTTTGTCTTCAATGACGACGGGCGAATATTGGACGACTGTGAACTCACAGATGCTTTGCTGCTTGAGTGGCGGGCCAGCTCAGAGTATCGAGACTTCCGTGCCTTTCACGAGGTTTACACCAAGCCGCTTTGGTGCGTGTCGGAAGAGCTCTACCGGACGCTGAGTGAGGACGTGATCGTGAAAAACAACCTCACGTGTGCGGGCTTCCCGCAGCTGCCCTACGAGTTTGCACGCGACGCGCTTTGGAGCCATCTTTGCGACAGCCACAGCCAGGCGCAGGAGCTTAAGGCCATGAGAGCTGAGCATGAGCGTCTGAAGTACAAGATCCCCGGCATCGAGTTCTGGGAGGGATTGTATCAGAAGAGGTCCCCCGCGTCCCGCAGACGGCTTTATGCAACTAACTACGAGCAGCTGCTTGCCATGACCAGGCGTCCGAGCTGCCGGCCATGTATGCTTCAAAGGAACGTCTGGCTGGGCAAATCGACCGTCTGTCAGAGAAGATTGCAGATCAGGTTCGGCCAATATGGAAGGCGATGTCGCCCTTTGAGGTGCTGATGAACGCGCCGTTGTACAAATGCGATGACAGCAACTACGACGAGATCACGCTTCAACGATTTGCTCGCCAGGAACGATGCAGTCAGATCATCTATAATTAAAATTAATTCTTTTTGTCCATGTGTGTGAGCTTGAGCACCGCCAGCTAGCGACCTCTCCTTGCGCCCACCCCGCCCCCATCGGGGGCGGGGGCCCGCACGGGCCACAACTCTAGTAAATAAATAAAGAAGGACGCCAGGACGGCGTGGTCGTTCACGCCTCGGGGCCGTGCGACGAAGAACCTAACCTAACTTGTGGGTGCTGAATCAAGTGGGAATCAAACCTCTCATGAGCCGGCGCCCTCCCCCCGCGCGCCCTCGAGCACCCCCTCGCTCGAGAATCTTCGAGAGACGGCCGCATGCCCGCATCATCGCCGGGTCTGGGTGGAGCAGGCCTCCCGAGATGGTCGCGCAGAAGAAAAACTCCGTCGGACGCGTCCTCGGGCACGGGGCCGCCCCGCGTCGACAGCAGACCCTATAGCGTGAGCCCTTCAGCGCAGCGACATGCGCTATCCTCAGCGTCTTCAGCGTATCCTTGTGCTTTTCTTCGACAGCAGCAGAGGACACCCTTTTCCTTGCTGAAGAGCGGCACCCAACGACGCGACGCGCTGCCGACGGGGAGGATGTGGTACTGGCTTTGGTATCGGCAGCGCATCGTGCCGACCAGCTGGCTTTGGTATCGACAGCGCATCGCGCCGACCAGCCCCAGTTCGACTTCGTCTCTTTCCTGGTCTGCAGCTTCTTGTCTGTACCAGTGACCCCTTCTACTCCACCTGGAACCCCGACCCTGGGGCCTACAGCCCAGGACCCGGTTCCGAGGACGAGGAGGCGCCGTTGACGCCTGTGCCGGTGGCTGTGCCGCCGACAGCTGCCGAGCTACCGCTGACACCCAACGTAATTCCAGCTTGGTACGGATTCGTCCTTGGGAGCCTGCCTTTGCCCGATGACCTGCTTACAGACCAAATCGCCGCATACCGAAGGCTGCCCATAGAGGAACCCGAGATCGAGACGTGCATGGAGGATTTCCTGCCCACGGGTGAGATGCGTCCTTCCGGAAGGGCGTGTCCACGTTGGAGCCAGGTGTGGTGTGGGCGCGAGAATAGCTCCGCCGTTCATGGAGGCAACCGATGCGAGTCGACTGGTGTGTGTCGTCGTGGTTTCGTATCAAGAATACTCACTCACTCACTCACTCACTGATTCACGCCACGGGCAAAAGGCACGGGCGACGGCTTCCTCAGAAGCCGTCGTCCTCACCGTAGCCGTCGTCGGACCCCCAATGAGGGGGATAGTCGAATCCGCGAGCACCGTGGTGCTCGCCGAAAAGACCATCCCCATCCCACTCCCCCTCATCCCACCCCCCCCCCACCCGGGAAGCCTACCCCGCCAATGGCCGGTGGGGCAGGAAAACCCCCCC